CTACATAAAAAGCATAATCCTCTTGTATTGTTTAAAATTTAAAATTTTAAAATCCCTAATTTAGAATTATTTCACTTGAGACTTAAAAATTGTATAGAGTTACTGTAGATGACTTGCATATAATATGAATTTTTTAAAATTTAAAATTTTTGAAAAGAAAGTATCATACTAATACAAATTTAAAAAAGGAGACAATTATTTCGGTCAAGATGCTTGACTGAAATAGTTTTATACAATTATTTCGATGAAGATGCTTGACTGAAATAATTTTATAGAAAATTTAAAATTTTTGAAAAGAAAGTATCATACTAATACAAATTTTTTAAGAAAAGGAGACAATTATTTTGGTCAAAATTTTTTACAAAAAAAAAAAGCTAAATTAAAACAAAAATTATTTAATTAATCCCCATGTCACATTCAGTAAAAATTTATGATTGAAATATTTACTATTTTATTATTAATATAATTTAGATAAAATACTTGACCGAATTAATGGTAACGCCAATTGGAGTTTTTTTTATTTCGGTCAATATATTTGACCAAAATAATTTTAGACCTAATTATTATGTTAAATACCTTTTGACCCAACTAAAGTATATTTTGGTCAATTTTTGATCGAATTAAGTCTTTTTTTCAATCAAAATATTTTCTTATCTGAAATATTTTATCCCAAATAAAGTTTTTTCTAGTCGTGAATGACTGAGTGCAGGATCCAAACAATTTTACCAATGATAAAGAATGAGAGTAGGCCTTATATTGGCAACCTTGATTTAAGAATATAACCGAGTAACCATCAACTCTTTGTTGCAGGAAATTGGCCTTCATGTAATCTGCTTCATTTAAGTTGCTTATTCTTCTCTTTTCAGGGCTGCTTTGATAAAGATGTTTTCTCCATTTGGGAAGATCGTATCTGAGGACTTCTTGTGGGCATACTCGTGGACTAAAAACGTGGAGAAGCCCAGTGATTTGCTTTTATCCAATACAGCACCAAAGGGGTAAGTCTTTTGCTTCTTATGTCAGTGTTCACTAGCAATTCCTGATTTCTATACTCAAAGTAGGCCAAGGAGAAGATGCATGGGAGATTAGCTTTGTGGTCGCCCTCTGGTGGTCCGGCTAGCCAGTGAGAAATACATTGAGGAAAGCAACACAAAATCCTTCCAAAGCAGGAGGTGCTGCAGTCAAACAATTGAGTCATGATGAAGTATGTAATGAATCTGACTTATTTGTAGAGTAGGAAGTTCGAGATCTTAGTATCAGAAATTTAGAATCGTGCATACCATAATAGAACTGAATTCAAGCTAATCAATTACTCATTACCCTTTACTTTGGTTTTTACATATTTTCCATTTTTGTTGTTAAATTTCGTAACAAAAAAGTTGAAATGCAGTTTGCATAAGGCATACTTACCGTATTCTCATATCATAATTATTATGAAAAAATAATAATTCAGACTTTCAGAGCCGTTGGTAGGAGGTTAGCTCGGAACTTAGGTAGCGCCAATGACAAAAAGACAGAATTTCATCTGGGCTTTTGCCACGTCATCATCTTGTAATTGCAATGCCTGCCGAGACGATAAACTTATCAACAATATTGAAATGTCGACCATCAATGGCGGCATGTACCTTCCCGTCCATTTTTACCTCGCCGCCGATGCGGTTGTGTCGTCTGTTACCGCTCCCTTGCCATCTCAACCACCAAATTTCTCCGGTGTCAGGGGATTAGCTTTAACATACCGCTTCCCTCACCAACGACCTATAAACCGGTTCGATCTCTGGAGGTCCGGTCACAGCTGAGGTGCCCTATTGTTTCTCCCGACGACCATTGGGGGACATGGACTGCTCTGTTCGCAACTGGTGCTTTTGGTCTCTGGTACTATATATCCCTCTGCACCTTCTAATTTTTTTTTTTTTATTATTAGTTTCATAATGGTGAGTATTTTTCTCTTGATTTATTAAGGGCGGAGAAGACAAAGATTGGGAGCCTGGTGAGTGCTGCGTTGGTGAGCACATTGTTGAGCCTAGCGGCTAGCAATCTAGGCATAATTCCTCATGAAGCACCGGCATATGCTATTTTCATGCAGTTTCTGCCATCTTGCTGCTCCTTTGCTCTAGTTTAGAGCAGACCTGCAGCTGGTTATGCAGTCCACTGGTACATTGCTCCAAGCTTTCTTGTTTGGATCGTATTACCAAAATGCAACCCTGAATTGATGTTAATTTTTATGCAACAGTGTTATAATAGTGTGTCATGATCTTGGAGGCTATACCTCTGTGTGTCCATGTTCTTATGGGGTGAAATTTGCATTTCATATAGAATCCCTGGAAAGTTATATTATGGACATTATTTCAGGGGAAAGAAAGTTCATATTTGCAGTGAATTCCTCAAAGAGAATCTTTTATAATTTTTCCATAATTTTGTTTATTTTTATGCATGACAGTTGCAACTATAATTGGAACTCTAGTGGCTTTTCAAATGGTGCCTATGCGATCACTTGGTCAAGACAATTGGAAAATAGCTTCTGCTGTCATGGATAGTTATATTGGTGGATATAAGTTGTCTTCAAAATGTTATTG